TTTTTGTTTGAGACAGGTTTGCTCTGTATTGCTTTGGAGGCGTTCCTAGAACTTGCTCTGTAGACCAGGCTGGCCTGGAACTCACAGAAATCCGTCTGCCTCTGACTCCCGAGTGCTGGGATTAAAGGTGTGCGCCACCAACACCTGGCAGGTGACAACATTTCTAAGGCTTCTAACTCATGCTGGAATGGGAAACTCTGAAACACTCATGAATATTGTAAGATATAAATAATTGTGTCCATGGATTTCTCCTGGGGAGGAGAAATCCCTGTGAAGGAATATTGGCTGCTCTATCTTCTGTGATGATTGGGTGAAGTGACCATCCTCTAACTAGGTACACATACAGATACTGAGAGTGCTGTCCCATGCAGGGAGGACTCTGTACCAGTGGTGTGCCTTTTGAAGTTTCCTCTCAGTTCTTGGCCCTTCCTCAAAATTCATTACATTGTTATTATAAAATATATAATTTTTATATGTGACAGGGAATAGAACATTATTACACAATAGTGACAGGGAATATGTTGACCTACTGATGTTGCCATTTCAAGGTCTTCTACTTCCTGCCTGATGTATTAAATTTTTGTCTGTGTGGCACTCTGGCAGTCAATGTGGAAACAAAAGTCACACAGTCTTTCTCTTTGAAGTATTGTTAGAAGATGGAAGGCTGTCTGGTCAAGTGGGATTTCTCTTTACCATCACTTTATGGCGAGCTGAAGCTAACTCATGTCCCCCCTTGTGATTGCTAATGTGGAGACAGACTATTACAGCATGTTTTGTTATGTGTGATCACATAACAACAACAGCAGCAACAAAAGTGCCTTAGAATCACCAGGTTAGACCATTCCAGTATGACAGAGAGGAAAACTCTAAAATGAGTTCCAGTTAGTTGTGTCACTAATTAGCAGTGAAGCCTGCCTTTTCCATTAGAACTCAGTGTCTTGGTGCCTGATTTCCTACAACAGGATGCACTAAAAAATTAGTTTATTTTTTTTGTTTCTGTATATGGACCTGCTTGTCTGTATGTGTTCAATGTGTGTGCAGGTGCCTGTAGAGGCTGGAAGAGACTATCACATCATTTGGAATTCAAGTTACAGGCAGTTATGAGCTATCCAATCTGCGTTTTGGCAGCGGAACCTGGCTCCATTGCAAGAGCAGCAAGTGATCTTAACTAAGTTCCAAGCCTTCTTTCCAATCCTCTCAACAATGCACTTCCTATAAACAGAATGTATCTGTTTTGTCTGTTTCTTTGTTTCTTCTCTCTCTTCCTTTCTCTATTCAAACCCTTTCCTTCATGCTCGGAAGAATACATGTGAATTATATTAAAAGTTTTAGGTTCACTTTGGGTTCTGTCACCAATATAAAAGACGGGGGTCTTGATTGTTCATGTGACATGGTATATAAGGACACATGTATTCACAATCTTTCCACATAAAATTTTGATGGAATAGTTTCACAACCTTGGGTTTGCAAGATGTACTTATTTATTAAATGTTTATTTTTTACCATAGAACTGCATGCTGCTTGGAGGTCGGAAGAACACAGATGTTCCCCTGGAAGGGTACTTAGTGACACCAATACAAAGAATATGCAAGTACCCTCTCCTTTTGAAGGTATTTAATGTTGCAGTGTGTGTTAGTATCTTACTATTTTGTTGATTTAAAAAATATCTTTTAAAGATGCCAATATTCTAAAAAGAGTACACCATAATTACTGGAAAAATGGCTATTTTGTCATAAATTCCTGTATGGAATAGGAAACAAACCTTTAGTAGAAAGGCCATTAAAGGAAGCTTTTAGTGTTCTTTGAAACACACATACTTGTTTGAGTTTCATTTAGAGTGCATGCATTAGCTTAGAAGAAACCCCATTAAATCCATTATGACTGGTTTACGTAGCACTTTAGCTACAGAGAACTTTAATTCCACAGTTGTTTTATTTTTGGTTTCTCCATACTTTGGTGACTTGATGCTAATGAAGTTAAGGTTAAATTACCACAGTTTCAAAGATTAGTGTGCTGGTTAGTTTTTTGTCAATTCAACACTAGCTCTGGCAATCTGAGAGAAGGGGATGTCTACTGAGAAAATACCTCAGTCAGTTTGGCTTATGGGCAAGTCTGGGGGGCATTTTCTTGACTAACAATTGATGTGGGAGGGCTCAGCCCAGTGTGGGTGGTGCCACCCCTGGGAGGATGAATCTAAGTTGTATAAAAAGGCAAGCTAAGCAAGCCATGGGAACCTCCAAGAAGGCAGCATTCCTCACAGCCTCTGCTTCAATTCCTGCTTCCAGGGTTCTGCCTTGATTCCTCTCATGATGGACTGTAAGCTGAAACAAACCCTTTCATGGGTCATGCTGTATATCATTACAATAGAAACTTAACTAACACACTTGCCTTTTAAATTATTATTGTAAAAGTGTTGTGTGGACCGCACGGAACAGGAAATGATAGAATACAGAGTGATAAGCACTCCTCTTACAGATAGTAATCACCACACTAACAGTTGTTGCAGGTATGAAAGTAACCAGGTTTTTATTATGATGATACAATGTTGTACAGGAGTAGTGGGTCTTAAACTATAGCCTTAGGCGTTATAACATTAGGATAGGGAATTTGGGGTAGGGTTGGACACATGAACCCTGAGTTCAAATCACAGATCACAGGTGTTCTCTCTATAAACTCTGTCTGAGGTATGTAATCTAACCTGTTAAAGACTTTTGCTTGCATTCGGAGAACAGAGATGATGATAGGGATGATCATGCAATCATAGCACATGAATTTATGTACAAGCACATGGATATAGATTTATTTGCCTTTATATAGGACTATGAAAGGATAATTGATTGTGTTGTCTTATATCTATCTTTAGTATAGTATGTTTTGAATTATTTATTATCATTCATATCTGTTTGATTCTTATTTATTTTACTAAATTATAGATTGTATCTGTTTTTAAAAATACTCTGAAATACTATGGACATGTAAACTGATGTGTTGGCTTACATTTTGGAACATAAATGTTATGAGTAGTAACTAGAAATAAATCTTGTTATAATTTTATGGATTGCATAAGTTGACTGTGTTGTAATATTTGTGTGTTTGAGTAGTGTTGTCATATGTATTAGTTGGTATAGTTGTGCACATGTGTGAGTGTGCTTATGCATGCATGTGGAAAGCCATTGGTGAAGTCCAGTTATTACTGGATCATGATCAAGTTTGGTTTCTCCATCAAATAAGAAATTAAAAGGCAGGAAGAAACTGGATGGTGCCAGCATATGCCTTCAATCATAGAACTCAGGAGGCAGAGGCAGAGGCAGAGAGATCCTTGAGTTCTAGGGCAGCCAGGACTACAAAGAAACACAAACCAACCCCTGTACCCCCCCAAAAGAGGCAGGAACTAAACTTTATTAAAAGTGTAAAAGTACACACACACACACACACACACACACACACACACACACACACACACAGGTGCAGGAGAGTATAGAGGGTATTTGGAAACTAAAAATATGGCTTGAATCTTTAAATATCTTTAATGATGTAGGGCAAGTCCCCTACTTGTCAGCCTTTTGGCTGGTCACCTTTAAAATTCAGATGAGGGATCTAGGGATCTGATGTGCTCACAGCTTCCTGTAAGCTCAAACTTGTCTTGGACTGGCTTTGGGCATGTCTGGGCAGGTCAGCTAGAAGGGTTGCCCCCAGTTGGAGTTGGAGGGTAAGCTCACCAAGCCTTTGTTCAGATGAAGAAGCTGGAAGTTTGCTATCGTGTTATCAATGTACTTTTTGCCTATGTTTCTGCTTGTCAAAGTATTTATCTCTCTTAATTCCCGTCTGTTAGGTTTCTGTAACATATGAAAAGGTCACTAGCACAGTTATAAGGTCTAGTGAGGGTATGATTAAAGTGATAGTTGGTGCATGGACACCCTAGTTGAAAGAGGAGAACATGTGGGAACACCATACACAGAATCCACTGCATGCCTTCTCACAGGCACTGATCAAACTATGGTGTCTCTACCACCTTGATCTACTACTATCTGTACCTTGTCAAGAATGCCTTGGTTTGCCTCAAGAGGTTGAGGTGCTTTTGATCAGTCAGTTTAAAATCATCAGCTGGCCAGTGATGATTTTCAAACCCATGCAGAACATCAAGGGACAAGGTCAGTGAAAAGAATTTCTCCACATTGTTATTACCATAGATTTTGGGTAAGTGGTTAAAGTCTAGGCCCATTGTCATTCTAGAGACTTTTAAGTATTCCTGTAAAGGCATTTATCATGGCAGGTGAGTCTTCTCCTGCTCTGTGTACCTGAAGACTGGAGATGCTTTTTGGGGGATTATATCTCTGACATATCTCATGTCCTTGTACCACCTGACAGGTTGTTCCTTTTAGGCCTTGTCCCTTTAATATTCTTTTTACCAGAATAAAAGTGCTTCCTTGTCTCAAGTGATATGTCTGATGAAGGAATTTAGAACTTTCACTGTAGGGCAGTAACCATCAGTGATTAGGTGTTTGCCATCATGCTTAGTGATGTCTGATTTTAAAGGCTAAAGCTGGTTTCTCAGGGACGTTTTTTTTTTTGGCTCTTTCACAAGGCAGCAGAGATTCCATCCAGAAAGTGGGGGCATTCCTTGTACTCCAGTGCAGTCCTATTGGCCTCAGAGTCAGCCATCCTATTTCTCTTTCCATTGGGTCATCCCCTTTCTGATATCCAGGACAGTGGGTTGTAGCCACTTGAGTGATCAAAAGGATGGCACTCTGGAGCCTAAGAATTTCTTGGGAAAACTTTATAGGGGTCTCAGCTGTTGTGAGGAGGAGGCCACCTCCTTCCATGTGGTTGCATGGGCATGGAGGATGAGGAAGCCATATTTGGAATCTGTGTAAATAAATATTGACTCTTTTCCCTTAGGGAAGTTCCAGGGCTAAATAAGTACTTTCAGCTTGGCTAATTGAGCAGTACAGTTTGGGGATATTGGTCCTGATTCAAGAACTTCAAATTCAGTGATTATTGCATATTCTACATGTCAGATTCTTTCACAAAGGAAATTCCTTCTGTGTAGAGGACCAATCGGGGTTGAGCTGAGAGACCAGGGTGGGCTACACAGGTGTATATGAGGTCCTCCTGACAGGAGGTCCCCTTCCTTTTCAGAAAGATTGATGGCCAGGTTCAGGCTTGTGCGTGTCTTGAGAGTAATTGCAGGTCATTCCAGTATGAGGGTCTAGTATTGAAGGAACCTTCTGTGAGTTAGATTTGCAGTGGTTCTCAACCTGTAGGTCACAACCCATTTTGGAAGTCCAATGTCCCTTTTACAGTGGTTGCCTAAGACCATGGGAAAATACTTATGATTCGTAACAATAGCAAAATTACAGTTATGAAGCAGCAATGACAGTAACTTTATGATGGGGGTGTTACCACAGTGTGAGGCACAACAGCCTTAAGAAAGCTGAGAACCACTGAGAGCTTTCTCTTATTATTTAGAATGACCAGTGTAGTGACACATGTGATCTGTGAGGGGAAGCAGTAGGGAATTTTTTGAGACTCAGGAATCAGGCAACTGCTCATAGGCATCCAGAGCAGTGCCTTCCTTCCTACCTGATGTAATTCCTTAGCTATCTGTATGACTTGAGGAAGTGGAACATGCATTGGGTAACTCCCCCTGGAGCTGTTCCCTGTCTCTTAGCTATATACAGGTGAAACTTAGGCTGACTTGGAAAGCCTAAGGTAGGAGTTCTGGCTAATGACTTTTCAAGTCTCTAGAAGGCTTGCTGGTACTCAGCAGTTCAACTCTGGTGAATTCTTGAGCTTGAGTCTCTTTGAGGGCCTGACTTAGAAGTGTAGCCAGCACTATGTAACCAGGGATCTACATTCTACAATATCCTATAGCTCCCTGGAAGGCCTTCATCTGGTTGAGGGTTTAGAGGAACATACTTGGGAGGGTAGGAAGGGCAAGATGGGTCAGAGCCATCCTGGGGCCTGTGCTAATACCAAGTATGGGATGTTCTGTGTAGAAGAACATTCAACCAAGCATCCTTCTTTCATTAGCCCTTTAATTATGGAGATAAATTCCCTTCTGACTTCAGGAGACATAGTTTCTGATCAAGAAAATAGGCAGAATCCTTAAGATGATATATGACCACAGGAGTGGCCATTTTAGCCTTTTCTATCATGTTGTACTTCCATCTGTCTGCACTGAAGCCTTGACATTGCTCTCCAACAAGCAAACGATGATGTTCTGCCCTGGAGGGAGAAGCAGTCTGACCTTGAATCTAGACAAAAGGTTTTTTCTCAACAGAGGATTCAGGATTTGGGGAACTATCAAAAAGAAATGACAAAAGTGGAGGCAAGCCGCTGCATGAGACAGCATTCTAGGGGTTGGCTTGATATACCCTGAATTATTGTAAACCTTCAGGACCAGGAATCAGGGGAAAGGGGTCAGTGCTAAGAGTCACACTCCTTAGTCAGGCATGAATCTAATCCTATGCTTCCTACAGCCAGTCACAAATTCCAAAGGCTCCTCAAGATTGTTGAACATGATGAGAGGCGGTATGGGAAGCCCTTCCCTGACAGCCAGACTTGTCATTATGGAAAGTTGATGACAGGAAGCCCACCTGGGCTGGAAGGAATGGCTGCTGCCCAGTGATTTCCCTTACAGATGGGACAGGGTCCAAGAATCTCTGAGGGTGTTCCCAACAGGAAGTGACCTTCTTGTACATGGAGGAAGCAAGCCCTAGGCTTAGACTTGTATGGGGGAGGTGTGGGGAGCATCTCTGTGGTTGGCTCTTGTAGTGACCACTAACTGCCCATGGTGCTGGTCCTTGTTCCTTTCTTTTCACAGTTCTATCATAAAAAACTGAGTTTGTGACATGGACAAATTAAAAAAACCTGCTAGTGTTTTGTCTGGGACAGCTATTAGTGTCTGGAGCTTTTTATGAGTGTCTGAACGGGATGAGTTAAGAGTGTGGCTTTTAGGATTGCATCCTCCAGTGATTCAGTGTGCATGGTTATATTCTCCCAGTGGGAGCCTCCTTGTCTTCTTGTAGTATATAACAGGGACTAGTAAAGAATTTTGATCTTAGCCTTCACAGTAAAGCAAATGCCCTTTCCATTCTTCATGTGGTCATTTGCATTACAGAGGGACTTCTGAGAGGGTTAGCCTTATCCCCCATAGGGAAGTCCTTATCCTCTTTGGTACTGTGGGTAGTGAGGAAGTCACTCCTGGTCAAAGAACCTGATCTAACACTCTTCTCTTTTCCAAAGGGTTAATGTTTGTTTTAATAACATCATCCCATCTTTGCGCCATACTTGATATATCTGGTTTAGTTGTTCAAAGAATCAATCACTCATGTCTGGATTATCCATATAACTTCTCAGTTCTTACTTCATGTCATTCAGTTCTGCCAGGGTAGAGGAGGCCTGGACAAACAAAACTCCTTCTGTCTCTCCTGACTCTCCTGAAATGACAAAAGAGGAAGCAAGCCCTTTTGGGTGTTGGGAGAGGGCAAGGATACTTCATTTGTTTCTCCTTGGGATGATGGTGGTGAGGATGTGCAGGTTACTGTGGGCCTTGGGCTTCCCAAAGCTCAGGATAGATACTTGGCAGCTTTTTATTTACTACTAGAGATTTCTTGGGTGAAGGTTCTTCTTCCAATTTCTCTCCCCTTTCCACATCATCTCTCCCTAGGCTAGAGTTTTAGCCATAGTCCATTGATGTGTTATACTCTTTAATGTGAGAGCAGTCAGAAAGTGTAAGAGACGTTTCTTGGCTACTGGTGCATCAGTATGAACCCCAGTTAGGTTGCCCCAGATCAGGTCTTTGTTAAATGGTTTATGCCCTATGAATGTAGTCTCCAGATTAGGCACCTCAAATCTAGTTCTCAGATTTTAATTTATCCCTCCCCATTATTTCAGATATACAGCAATAGGAAGAGCCAGCTGGCTTCTAGTTACAACTCTGGTCAGGTGGTGGACAGCTTCTATATTACCTAATAGCCCAATAGGTTTTTAACTGCTTTGTTCATGGTTCCTTTTCTTCTGACATAGGAGAGAGGAGCTAAGACCCTAAGGAAAGAATGTTGGAAGTCAGACAAGATAATGCCCAAACAAAATCCTATCCATTAGAGAAGAGTAGATAAAGCCCTAACAAGACCCTACCCAGTCAGAGAAGACTAGAGAAGACCCTAACAAGACCCTATCCAGTCAGAGAAGACTAGATAAGACCCTAACAAGATCCTACACAGTCAGAGAAGATTGTGATTGTCAGTATAAAGGTAAAAAATGCAGTGTCATCAGAGTAAAGTTCAGGAAGTCTCTTTGGAGCCAGCTGCCTGACTAGCTCTAAGAGCCTCAGCCCACAGAGTGTGTGCAAGTGAGAGCAATCTGAAAGAATTTTCTTGCTCTCTGAAACAAAGGCAGTAGAGCTAAATTGGAAAGTGAACCCTCCCTATCAAAGAAATTTAAAAAATAACCTTACCAACCTACAATTTCCACCATACCTTAACAGTGGTGGTGTTCACGTCCCAGGATGGGGAAAGAGTGCCAGCAAACTCAGTGTTCACCCCATTCTGTGATTTCATGGTTTGACTCAGTTTATCCTGACCTTAGTAGTATTTAAGTGATACTCAAAAGGACTCCCACAAAAGTCTTCCAAAAATGTTACTGTCTAGGCAGGGAGAATCACAGACACAGCAGGCAGTAGACTTTTTTAAAAGTGAAGAAGCACACCCACCCACAGGAGACTCCCAAGAAGTACAGAGGGGATCCAGAAACACGAACCCCAGGAGGGCTTGAAGTTTTTAATTGTTTTGGTAGTATGACCAGGGGCCCCTCCCTTTATTTTGGGATCGTCAATTTAAACAAAGAAGAGGGAGCTGCTAGGCCCACAGCTTCATGGGAACTGACACATGTCCAGGACTAGCCTTGGGAATGTCTGGGTATAAATGGTGTGTGTGTGTGTGTGTGTGTGTGTGTGTGTGTGTGTGTGTGTGTGTGTGTGTTGGGGGTGGTGCACAGCATTTGTTCTGGGTGAAGAATCCAAAAGTTTGCCATCTGACTGTTTACCTATAACCCTTTTCCTGGCTGTCTGCCTGTCAGGGTGCTTATTTCCCTTCAGGCTATCTTTCCTTAATTGCTCTCTACTTCTATTTTTTGAAGCAAGATCTCTCACTGAGTCTAAAGCTTATCTACTTGGCTAGGCTGGACCACCAAGATTGTCAGGGATTCTTATGCCTCTGCTCTGGCCCTGTCCTTAACAGTGGGGTTATAGGTGCAGACCACCACACCCAACTTTTGACACAGATTCCGGGGATCGGAATTTGGGTCCTCATGCTTACATAGCAGTCACTTTATGGACTGAACCACCTCTGTAGCCTATAAAAACTATTTTAAACTTTTTTTTTAAAAGAACAGTTTCTATCACAAAGCAGATCTAAAGTTGCTTGCCTAAGCTGTGAAAAGGCTTATGCAAAGGCAGGGGCCTCCAGCTGTATAGTTTTGCATCGTCTATAACATGCAGCATCAATACCAGCATGGCTGTATAGGTTCTGATGTTCTGAGCTTCCCTGCGGATCTTCAGCTAAGGGACTCAGTGTGCTTATGCACCCATAGGTGTCCTTATCACTGATCCCTTGTTGGAACCCCAGATATTCCCTTTATTGTAAGGACCAGAAGAGAAGGTTAGGAATAATACATCATAAACAAGAGATTGCCTTAAAACACTCATGGCTAAGCCGGGCGTTGGTGGCGAATGCCTTTAATACCAGCACTCGTGAGGCAGGTGGATCTCTGTGCGTTCGAGGCCAGCCTGGTCTGCACAGCGAGTGCCAGGATAGGCTCCAAAGCTACACAGAGAAACCCTGTCTCTAAAAACACCAAAACAAAAAAACAAAACAAAACAAAACAAAACACTCATGGCTGATTAGGGATGACCTCAAGTGTTTGAATTTAATTCTTAAAAAAAAAAAAAAGCATCATAGATACATTCCTGTCTCACATGAAAGAAAGAAGTTGAGAGATATGAAGCAGAGGTTACCTCCTTGCTCTTTGGGAAAGATTTTCATTCACAAAAAAGAAAAAGACTTACGTATACAAATAGACTAATGCCAACAGTTTGCTTATGTATACAGATAGGCCAATGTTGAAAGATTAGACTTGGATTCTTTTTGAATGTTTGTATTTATTCAGAGGAAAGTATTAAAGACACTGTGTCACACAGTGAAGAACTGTGAGAATCTGAGAGCGAGTGACCATTAGAATAGTGACTTGATTTTCTTTTGCTTTTGTTTATTCCACATTACCTAATTCATGTCTCAACTCTTAAGATTAGTGTTGGGTACCATTCCAAGGGTCCACATCCTTTCCTGGAGGTTGATGTACAAATTTCACGTAATTTAAAAAGGCTTTACTTCTGAGCTTACATGTCTCTCTTATGGATTAGGCCCAGAATAAAATTTTCAACTTCATCTTGAGAATAATGTGATGTGTATCCCTTTGGTGTTGGATCATATCAAACACAAGGTCAAAGTTTATTCCAACATATTCAACCGTTAAACAACTAGAAACTGCCTGATTTCCTACTGTATGTTTACAAAAACTTCTGAAATTATGTCTCAGCGTTTCTGTAATTGTGTTAGTGCCATGATGATGACAACTGCTATAAGGAAACAAATGACTAATTAAAAAGTGGTGTGGTCACAGCTGTCTAGACAGTGGGTGAAGATGTTTAATTTTGTGCTTCTAAACAACAGCTAAGAAGACCATTTAATATACTAAAAAGATTACAGATTATTCTGCTTTTGATATTTGAAATGAAAAGAAATACATAAATAAAAGTTCCATCCCCAAAGCAGAAACTGAGAATTAAATAAGGGAGCTTCCACGCATATGGAACACTACTGCTTACCAAGAAAGAACAAGAGCAAATTGATGGAGATGACATGTCCTGCTCCCCTGATGATGGGATGGTGTGAAACTGGTCAATTAATTCTTTTTGCTAGAGCATAAAACATATATGCTTTATTCATGGTATATCTCTATGGTTTCTCAAAAGATACTAGAAATAGGAATTTAATTCAGTTTTGAAACTGGTGCATATTTATTTGAAGATCTGTTAAAGACTCTAAGAAAAGGAAATTAACATATACTGATATGCTTCTTCTGTTAGAATAAAAGTCAAATTTATAAAAACTATGATTGGATTCAGGTGTGATGTTTGATGATGAGAGAGAGAGAGAGAGAGAGAGAGAGAGAGAGAGAGAGAGAAGGAACCTTGTTCTGTTTCTAAAATACAGGTAAGTTTGAGGGCAAATTACAGTGACTGCAGAAATGAGCATTAAAGTAATGCTTAGTCACTGATTTGACCTTTTGCTTTTGATCACTATCTTAGTGGAGTTTGTGATGTCACTTAGCAGCGTGGCTGTCACAGTCTTTGTCGTTTTCATTTCCTGGTCAGTCTGAACCTGCTGTACCACAGAACTGGAGATCAAAGGGTGGTTTGTTTTTGTGTATAAACAGGAATTACTGAAGCGGACTCCACGGAAACACAGTGACTACACAGCGGTGATGGAAGCCCTCCAAGCCATGAAAGCTGTCTGTTCCAATATAAACGAGGCCAAGAGACAGATGGAGAAACTGGAAGTTTTAGAAGAGTGGCAGTCACACATTGAAGGCTGGGAGGTACGTGCCCTTTGCTCAAAGTTTCAGCTTCATAGAGTTGTGGAGACTCAAGCAGCACTTCTTTTCAATTCATGGAACCACAAGTGGCCATCTCCCAGCAGCCCATGGACCACAGTCAGCTCTGAAAGTGCTTTTCATGTTACTTTCACACATATATAAGATGGAAGTCATCTTGACCTGAGAAACTTGGAATCGAACCAATAAATATTGTGTGCCTCCATGCTTTAGCACTTCAGAATTTGGAGTACACTTTCTCCTGTTTTGGTTTTGGTCAACAAGTACATAACCTGAATGCTTGGGACAATAAAGGATTGCGTGTGCTGTGCTGTCAGCTTTAGACTATTAAATTGGGGACTTGATGTTGAATTTCATTTTGAGTCTGCCTGATCCCTCTGTGCTTTGATTTCTTCATATCTAAACCTAAAGGAATCTCTATGATTTGTTGTCATTCGTCTAGCAAAATGAAATGTGTGAGTTTTATTAGTCATCAAAGAATGCTGTTTGTTCATTTTTTTTAAGATAAAAAGCAAGTAAATTTCCTAGTTGAGAATCAAATATTTCTGGTGACTGATGATTTTGGGTCTCAGTGATTCCACAGGAATGAAATCTTGCACTCCTGCTATAAAAATAAGCTAAAATTCTGGTTTAAAATGACCATAACTTAAATGAATATGAACTTTGGGCTAGCAAACTTTTTCATGTGATAAAGTAAGCAATTAAGATAATGAAACCTACAGAAGTATAAACAACAATGAAAATGTACAGCCAAGCACAACTCACATAAATCTAGAGATAGCTTTTATCCTTGGGGAGTTGTCATTAACTTTTATCTTCAATGTGCTGGGTTTTATTTAGACCTAAAATTATATTCAGCCAGATATGTAAAGAAATGTCAACACTAACTTGGGACAATCTTCCTATTTGGTCACCCCCTGCTCTGAATCATTTAAAATGCTAACTGTGGTCTGACATAGCTTCCTCTGTGCCTATATTCTTCCATTTTGAGTGTTTAGGGTGACCCTCCTGCAGCATGAATGCTGCATCTTTCAGTCAGGGAGAATGGTTATGTGTTTTACAGTTGATTCATCATGATAATTCCATTCCTGTGTCCTGCTGGGATGAGAAAAATGGAGCCAACTTGGCTTTTGCAACTTTGTCATCAGTCAAATACTGGAAGAAAAACCAACTTTCTTAAAATTTCAGGATTTGTCTGTATAATCTGCTAGGCCTTTTGCTACAACAAGAAGTTCAGAGACTCTTTTCAGAATGGTGGAATTTGGTTTCTTTCTAGTGTGTAGCCTTAAAATAAAAAGAGTCTACTATAAGAAGCTGGTTTGCTTAAACACTATTGTTTTGCACAGCTTTGGATTGTGTTTTACAAGTAGCTCACAGCAGAGGGAATATCAATTAGGCCAGCTGCTATAATTCACATCTTGAATGTCACCAGATACCCATGTCTTGAGGCTGGGTTCCCAGCAATTGGTGCTATTGGGGGGTGGTAGTACTTTTAGGGGTTGAGGTCTAGTAGAAATAAGTTAGGTAACTGGGAAGAGTGCCGTTATGAGGTAAGCAACTGTCTTCCACCGTGATGTTTCACTATAGACCAAGGGAACGAGGCTAAGTGTCTAAGGATTGCAATTTTAGAATACATGAAACTGAAAACAAACTTTTCCTTCTAATCCACTGATTTATTTCAGATATTTTGTTATTGTTACAGAAAGTTGGCATGCCGGCCCTGATTTTTTTTTTTTTTTTTATTAGTTCAAATTAGGGACAAGCTTGCTTCAAATGTCAATCCCTTCTCCCTCTCCCTCCCTTCTTCCACCCTTCCCCTTCACTCTCACCTACCCCATCCATCCTCCACTCTGCAGGCAGGGTAGGGCCCCCAAAGGGGGCTCCCCAAAGTCCACCACATCATCCTCGGCCGGACCAAGAGTGCATCCCTTCACTTGGGAATGGCTCTCAAAGTCCCTTCTTACACCAGGGAAAAATACTAATTCACTACCAGAGGCACCCCCTAGAGTGCAGAGGCCTCCTAATTGACATCCATGTTCAGGGGTCTGGATCAGTCCTGTACTGGCCTCCCAGACAGCATCTGGGGTCGATGTGTTCCCCCTTATTCAGGCCAGCTGTTTCTGTGGATTTCACCAGCCTGGTACCAACCCTTTGATCTTTATTCCTCCCTCTCTGCAACTAAGTTCCAGACTTCAGTTCAGTGTATATCTGTGGGTGTCTGCCTCTGCTTCCATCAGCCACTGGATGAGGGTACTAGGATGGCATAAAAAGTAGTCAACAGTCTCATTATAGCAGAAGGGCATTTAGGTTATCCTCTCCATCATTGCCTAGATTATCAGTTCATGTCATCCTTGTAGGCCTCTGGAAATCTCCCTAATGCAAGATCTTTCCTCGGACCAATAATGGCTCCCTCTGATATGGTATCTCTCATCCTGCTCTCCTCCATTCTTCCCCCAACTCAATATTTCTGCTCCTTCATTTCTTCCTCTCCTTTCCTCTCCTCTCCTCTCCTCTCCTCTTCTCTTCTCTTCTCTCCTCTCCTCTTCTCCTGCTCTCATTCTGGCAGCTCCCTCTCCCCAACTCTCATGCTCCCAATTAACTAAGGAGTTCCTGCCCCTTTGCATTACTGGGGTGCATGCATTTTTTTCTCATAGAGTCCTTCTTGTTTCCTGGTTTCTTTGGTGCAGAGGATTGTAGGCTGGTAATACTTTTCTCTATGTCTAAAATTCATGTATGAGTGAATTTATACCATGTTTGTATTTTTGTGACTGGGTTACCTCACTCAGGATGG